TGAATGACTGGCCTATTTAAACCTTCTGCTATTTTATGTCTTGGTCTTTCAACCTTACTCTCTCTAGACCTGAAGTGGCTGTGGATATACCTCTTCTTTGTTCTTCTCAAACGGACCTCTGTTTTTCCAGTTTTTATCAGTTCATGATCCATAGCTGTTTACTCCCCCAACACCTGGATGGTGTAACTCCCCCTTTTGGGATTTGGAATGGAATTTCTCCTTTATTTACATCTTTCTAGCTTCTGTCTTCTACCAAAGCAGCTAGGTTTAGTTATACAACTTATCTTAGGCTGTTTCTTAGTGAGTTTTCAAAAGCAAAAGGGAAAGGACAGAGCCAGCAAGTGCTCCCAGTGCTTATTCTAGGAAAGTAGGAACTCTGCTGCAAGGGCAAAGATTGGTGGCAACTTAAAATTAAAATAACATTTTCTCCAAATTTTGAAATGGCTGGTGCCAAAATAGACTCTTAAGAATTATAAGTGTGTCTTTGTTGGATAATAAGAACCATACCCTTAGAACTGTGCTTGAATATATTTTGCTCGAAATTACTTTCAAGAAACTATTGGCATGACTCTGAGCCCACAGAGCTGCTGAGTCAAGAGCATAGAGCTTCTGCTGGCTAGAGTTCGTGCTGATAATGTCAAAACAGGATGAATGCTAGAGATGCCCATCACCTTTATAAAGGGCTGGTGCTTAGGGGAAGAAGACTATGTCAGGCATTTAGTAATTTCACTATCACTTCTGGTAACATACTTCTTGATTTCTATTGTAGTACAATATAAGAATACAATGTACGTGATTATCAATACAAGGTATATAAGAATATAAGGTACTTGAGGGCAGGGATTGTTTTGTCTTCATATTCCCCAGTGCCTAGCACTGTGCTTGGCATATAGGAGATGCTTAACATAGACTGTTGTAGATCTTCCTAGCTTTGGTCTAATCCCCATATTCTTACTTCTGCCTTACCTCTTGGACTGACAAGTTCCTGAGATACTACAGTTCTGACACAGTCAAGCTTGTCATTTATGCTTTTCCAAGCTTCTCATTTATGCTCTTCCTTGGATCCTGCTTTGGACTCTGTCTCTCTTTCTCAAGGAAGAGCTGTTTTTGTTTCCCCTCAGGCCCTTTGGCCATCCTAATAACCAACATATGTTAGCCAGATGACATGAGGGATATGACAGGGTGGGGGATAGCTCCCTGGGAAGGTAACAAACATTTATGAGGTTCTTATTCTGTACTAGGTACACAGTAGTTGCTCAATAAATGACTGATTTGAAGTGAATTGTGCACATGTGAAGATTATTCTTTTGCTACTGACTACACCTTATTAGGAGAACTTTGTTGTCACTTTTGATTTGCTGTCTTTAAGATTTTGACCACACAAAAAAACACACCATTTTAAATAAATGGCCAGTTGTGGGGCTGGTTTGCTGCTATTCCTGAAACCTCTACAACTATGACACATTGGAGGGGTCCTCCCAGATACTCCATTTAAAAGGAGTTGCCCAGGGCAGCTGTTTCAATTTTCCACCCTACTGTATACTTCTCTGGACTTTCTTCATGCCTCCCCACTTAGCATAGTGCCTGGCACATAGTAGGAGCTTAATCTTTATTGTCTGACATTGTGTTTATCATCTTTCAGTGGGTCCTTGCATGGGTCTTCTCTAGAAGATTGTACCCACTATCATCTTTTCTCTCTCTCTTTCTCATATTCTTTATCTATTAGATCCTTCCCTACCACGTCTCCCCTTTTCTTAAAAAATCCTCACTAGATTCTATCATGCTTCCTAGCTGTCCTAAAATGACTCCTCAGCTAAACTTCAAAAAGCCATCCACACTTGATTCCTTCACTTCTTCTCCTCTCAATTTCTTCTTAAACTATGCAGTCTGGTTTCCACCCTTACCATTAAACTGAAACTGCATCCTCCAAAGTTACTAATGATCTTTTAATAGCCAAATCTAATGATCTTTTCTGCATTCTCATCCTTTTAACATCTCTACAATATTTAACAATGTTGATCACTTCATTCTTGATTATCTTCTGTGACAGTATGTCTTGGTTCTCCTATCATTCTAAGTGCTCCTCAATTTTTTAAAATTGCATCTTCATCTATGTCATGCCCACTAATAAATGATACCTGCCAAAAGTCGGTCCTGTGCCTTCTTTTTATTTCTCTCTAGACTTAGTAATCATATCAGTTTCACTAGCTTCGATTATCATCTTGATATAGATGATTTCTAGGCCTATATATGTAGCTCTAGTCTCTCTCTTGAGCTCCAGTCTTATATCGCTGTCTATGGAGTAATTTGAACTGGATATTTTTTAGGAATGCTAAATTCAACATGTCAAAAATATAACTCATCATTCCCCTTATCCCCTTCACCCCCATCTCTCTATAGAACTTTCCTATTACTGTAGAGGTTACCACTATCCTTCTCCTCACCCAGATTCAGAACCTTGGTATCACTCTTAACTCTTGGAGAGAAGGTCCTTGAGGATAGGGACAATTTTTGCTTTTTCTTTATGTTCTTGGTGCTTAGCACAATGCCTGCCACTTAATAAATGCTTGTTGATTCTGACGGAATCATGGAACTTCCGAATTGGAAGGGAACCTAGTAACCATCTTGTCTAACACATGCCTGAAAAGAATCCGATCTAAAAGATAAACAAGCAGTCATCCAGCCTCTCTTTTTTGTTACTTATATTCAGTTTATTATATAACAGAAGTTAGCCTGGTCACATTAAGGAAAATTTAACTGAGCTCATTTTAAATTAGAGTTTTCCTTAAATTTAGTCCATAGAGATAAGATCAGATGGTAGTCACTTTGCAAGACAAATGCTGAAATCCAAGTTGAATTTTTGAAGTGTCATACATTTGTTAGTAGGAAGGATTAGATGAAGAAATCAATGTACTGAGAAAATAAACTATTCGAGAGTTGCCAATGTTGGTCCAAATGTTAGTCACCCCGAAATATGAGTCACGCTCCTAAAGTTATCTCTTTGTAAAAAATATATATGTACACACAGACATGAATACTGAAAAATAACTGTTTAGAGGCTGCAGAAAGGTTCTATCTAAGCCGAAGTTTTGGAAAAATAATGTAGCTTTGACTTAGAACAGTGCTATGTTTTAAGGAATAAAACAAGGCAGTTATTAGCCATTGAATAATATAAAGTCCTTCATCATTCTGATGACTCATTGTGGTATAGAGATGTCCCTGAGTTCTTGAATGCTATACTGATGAATCGCAAACTGTCTTGGATATTACCATGGCAGAGAGGATTTGAATACAGGTGTGATGTATCTGTCTTGTAAGGATCAGTCTAACTAATGCTCAGAGAGGTTCCTCCTTAGAAGAGTGGCTAACAATGATGAATTTTTCCAACCAAAGTAAACCATGAAGATTATTTACTAAGAAGTGAAGAGATTATAATCTGTGTCAGTGCAGAACACTCACATTCATGAAATCATAGATTTTTTAAAGCATTGTGGTTAACATAAATTTGTAAATTTTAAATAGTGACAAAACATTAGCAAATGGGAAGGAACTGTCCTTCATAAATTGCACTGATATCCTTGTTAAGAGATGAGTAAAATGATTCAATACCCTGCCATTTGGGAGTGAAATTTGCCTGATTACATATTTCTCTAGCAATTTGAAAAGGAAATTGGATATCAAAATGATGCCTCAGAAATTGGAAGAGAGGGCATCATTTTATTTCCAAAAGGCAAATGTAAACATTCACTTGAATAATAGAAAAATAAACTAAGGTGAATCAACTAAGCTGCTCTTTCCTTTGATGTTTTGCTGCCCTCCTTCTGCAGACAGCTTTACTGTATAGTGAAATGTTCACTGTAGAAAATCCCAGTAATTTCCCCACTGTTTATACTTGTACTGGGGAGGAAGAGAGCATCCTTGAAATGGTGTGTTATGAAAAGTGTATAATATACTCTGGGAAAAATGTTCTACACTTTAGACCATTTAGTTGGGAGTGTACAGTTTGTGTGGCAGAGAAATAGATCAGGTTTGGATTGTGAAGTTAGGAGCCAGAATACAGATGGCTCTGAATACCAGGCTAAGAATTTTAGACTTTTATCTTATTGCCAATGGAAAGCCTTTGAAGATTTCTCAGCAGGTAGGTAATGTGTATAAGGAGGCATTTGGGGTAAATTAATCTGAAAATGACATGTAGAATAAATTAAAAGGTAGGGAGGAGGATCAGGAAACTGGAGGCAAAGAGAGATGTTTGTTACACCACTGCAGGAGTAGTTCAGGCGTGAAAGGATCAGGGTAGTAGAAAGAGTCCCGGGTTTGGAGTCAGAAAATCTGAATTTGAACCCTAGCCCAGCCACTTACTACTGGTGACCTTGGACAAGTCACTTCAACTTTCTAGGGCTCAGTATCTTAATTCGTAAAATAATCCACGCTCCTAGGAAAACTAGAGGATCGTACCAGATGAGCCCTCACAGCTGGAAGGTTCATCCACGGTCATCTAGTTCAACCCCCTCATTTCATATATGAGGAAACTGAGACCCAGAAAGGTTAAGGTTACAAAGGGCAAGAACTAGGCCAGGGCCACTGGCCTCCTTGGTATTCCTTGAAGTAGACACTCCATCTCCCAGCTCCTTCACTGCAATCCTCGGCCTCTCGGCCTCCATCTCCTGGTGTCCTTCAAGTCTCAGCCAAAACCCCAGCGTCTGCAAGAGGCCTTCCCTATTTCTTCCCTAGTCATTCCCTTTGAGCCAACCCAAAATTTATCCAGTATGTGTCCTGTCTCTACACATTTGCTTTCATAGGGTCTCCTCTATTAGCTTCAAGTTGCTAGAGAGCGGGGCTGTCTTTTGCCTTTCTTTGTGTCCTCAGCCATAGGCTTGGACACAGGAAGCCCTTAATAAATGCTAGTCGACTTGCTTTGATTACGAGACAAAAAAGAAAGAAAATGACCTTGTTTGAAATTATAACAATCGGGGACAGGGAATAGGAAGGGAGGTGGGAGAGAAAAGAAATGCTTTTAATTAAAAATAATAGTTTAAAAACCAAACAAAAAGATGGTAGCGGACTTTGTCCATCCGGGTAACAGCACCCGCAGACAAAGGACTTAAGAGTCCCGCGCGGCATTAATCAGGGGTCTCAGCCGAAACTGCTCCGGCCCCTCCGCGTTCGGCCCATTCAAAAAGCCAGCGCACCGGTGGCAGGGAGGGGCGAGGCCGCTGCCTTCGGCTCCGAGGGCCACACTGGACGCTCGGCCCCGCCTCGGTTCGCTCTCCCGCCCCCGGATACGGAAGTGACGCAGTCCCGTCAGACCACGCGCCCCTTTCCGCGGGGAGCGTTTCCGCCATTTTTGAAAATCAGGAAAAGCCGGTGTGAGCGCCTCTTGTTGCCATCATGGCCGCCTTCGCCGTGGAGCCCCAGCCACCTCCGACAGGTGAGTGGCAGATGGAGAGTCTGTTTCAGTCGGACTACCCCATCGGCGAGCGGGGTAGGAGGGTGGCTGTGGGATTCCTGCGGTCGCTGGCGCCGAGCGTGCGTTCCTCTTCGGGGTGGACCCCGACCCCAGTGGCGGCGGCCCCAGGGGGGGTGGCTGCGGGCGCCCTCGCGGTCGCTGCCGCGTCCCCGCCGTTCGGCGTGGACCCGATTCTTCCTGAGAAGGTGTGAGCGGGGCTCAAGGTCCAACCCCCGCCCTGGAATCTCTCAGACAGAAACAGTGGCAGTGTCAGAAAGAGGGAGTAGATTCAAAGATAAAACCTAGATTGTGACCCTGAGGAGGTGATTGGCTGAGGCCGAGCGTGGGCGGAGTCCCGGAGTTCGTGTTAAAGTCATCCTCCCACAGGTGTCGTGGGGATGTGTCCCACGGAGGTTGGGAGGAAAGGCAGTGCTACTTGTAAGAGTCTTAGCTTCCCGGAATCGGGTGATAAGCTCTCTTTGTTCTGTCATTCAGTCAACAAGCATTTATTAAACGTTTACTCTATGCTGTACGCTGAGCTCGGCGCCGATAATACAAAGAAAGGCAAAAACGTGGTTCGTGCCTTCTAGGAGCTCGCGTGCTAATGAGAAAGACGCTACTCAACTGTGTGCACACAAAATAGATCGTGTCCCGAACATTTATTAATCACATACTTTATACCAGGCACTGAGCTAAGCCACTTTGGGGATGGGTGGGTGGAGTGGGGTGGGGTTTTACCAAGAATGGCTTAACTGTCCCTGCTTTCTAGGAACTCATAGTCTAATGAGAGAGACAACACGCAAACAAATTAGGTATTGTCATGCTATATACAGGATATGCTGGAAATAATCAACCAAGGGGAGGCAGTAGAGTTAAGGGAGATCAGGAACCATTTACTGTACAGAAGATGGGATTTTAACTGGAACTTGAAAGAAACCAGGTAAGCCTAGGAGTTAGAGATGTGGAGGGAAGTGCATTTCAGGCATGGGGGACAGGCAGTGAAATTGCCTGGAGTCAGAATGGAATGTCTTGTGCAAAGAACAGCAAGGAGGCCAATGTCCCTGGACCTTAGACCATGGGGGGGGGGAGTAAAATGCAAGAACACTGGAAAGGTTGGGAGGCAGGTTATGAATTGCACTTAATACCAAACTGAAGGTTTTATATTTAATATTGGAGGTGATAAGGGGTCGCTGGAGTTTATAGAGTAAAGAGGTAATGTGATCAGGTCTGTGCTTTAGGAAGATCACTTTGGTAGCTGAGTGGAGGATGGCCTGGAGTGGGGAGAGACGTGTGGCAGAAAAACAGACTAGCAGGCTCTTAAATGAGGTGATAAGGGCTGTACCAGGGTGGTGGTGATGAAGTGCTTGGGTACCTGTGCTTGGACCCCAATTTCTCTCTGGCCTCAGAAACACTATCCCTGACTATTTCCCACCAGCCCAAGGACCCTATCTCTGGCAATAACTAATGAGTGGGCCCAGTGAGGCAAACTGTCTCTCCCTGTTACAAGAACAAGCTGACTTCTGTAAAATTTCACTTGTATGAACAGGACTATCTTGTACCAGCAGAACTATCAAGTACTGATGCCCACGGTTACTGTATACAATGCAGAAGTCAATCTATAGATGTCAACTCCTGAAGCTATCTTGTATCAGACATAACAGACCAAAAACATACCCTTTAGGAACCCTCTCCTGCCACCCCCTTCCAGTAGTAAATGATGTAGTTGTATGTTATCACCAATTAGCATACTTGGCACATAATTCACTACTTTTCCTATGTAAACTTTAGCATCATTCTTGTTAGGTTTCAAGTTCCCTCAGGAGCTGTGCCCACCATGGCAGAGTTCTGAAGGCCTTCTCCTCCCTGTATAGCATAACAGTAAATCTTTGCCACTTTTACTTAAAGAATGCTTAGGTTTGTAAATTCATTCCAGATGACCCTGGCCTGTACTCTGGTCCTTGAGGGATTGAAATCTCTCAGACAGAAACAGTGGCAGTGTCAGAAAGAGGGAGTAGATTCAAAGATGAAACCTAGATTGTGACCCTGAGGGATTGGGTGAATGTAGCAAGTTTGGAAGAGGTAAAGGTTGATGGGAAAAGATTTCACTTTTAGACGTGTTGAGTTCAAGATGTCCACAGTACAGTTGGAGATGCCAGAGAGAGGGATAGAGCTACATAAATAAATCAGTATCATCTGCAAAGAGATGTTATTTGAGTCCATAGAGCTGGAGAGATCACCAAATGAAATAGTAAAAAGGAGAGGAGAAGAGGGCCAAGGAGGACACCCAAGCAGGAACACCCAGAGTTAGCAGGTGTGACCTGGATGAAGAGCCAGCAAAGGACACTGAAAAGCAGTTAGACAGGTAGGAGGAGAAGCAGAATGCAGTAGTGTTACAAAAACCTAGAGAGAAGAATGTATTAAGGAGAAGTATAGTGTCAAAGTCTGGAGATAGGTCAAGAAGGATGAAAAGTGAAAGAAGACCATTAGATTTGGCAGTTAACAAATCATTGGTAATTTTAGAGAGAACAGTTTCAGTTCAGTGATGAAGTTGGAAGCCAAACTAGAGAATTGAGAAGAGAGTGAGAGGAATGAAAGTGTAGGCATCAGTTGTAAATGGATGGTCTTTTCAAGGAGTTTAGCTACAAAAGGGAAGACAGATATGGGATGATAGCTACACTGCTGGATGGATCAAGTGAGAATTTTTTTTGAAGATGTAGGAAACATGAATATGTTTGTAGGCCTGTAGTGAAGTCAGCAGCAAAGGAGTGTTTGAAGATAAGTGAGAGAATGGCCATAAAAGGGCCATAATCTATGAAGAAGATGGGATAAAATGTGATCACTTATACAAGTAGAAGAGTTTGCATTGGCAAGAAGGGCCACCTCATCGTGTGAGATAGCTGAAAGAGATAGTAGTAGAAGGCAGGCGTCTGAGTGAAGTGAGTTGAAGAGGAAGGTAGGAAAAAAGAGGCTGTTGGATCTCTTGATGAATGGCCTCAGTTTTTTCATTGAAATATGAGGCCATGTCCTCTGCTCAGAGGGTAGAGGGTAGAGGATCCATGGGAGGTTTGGAAGAGCCCCTGCTTGAATGGGGTAGTGAGTCAGTTTGTTCAGTTGTTTCAGTCTTGTCTGACTCTTTTTGACCCTGTGTGGGGTTTCTTGGCAAAGATACTGGAGTGCTTTGCTATTTCCTTCTCCAGCTCATTTTACAGATGAGGAAACTGAAGCAACTGGGTTAAGTGACTTATCCAGGGTCACATAGCTAGTATGTGTCTGTGGCCAGATTTGAACTCAGGAAAATGAGTCTTCTTGAGTCAAGGCCCTGCACTGTATCCACTGTACCACCTAGCTGCCCAAAGTCAATTAAAGAGGTATAAACATACTGCCTTGCCACAGGGAAGGCCTAGTTGAGATTATGTAAAATAGTTTTGTAGGGGATTAAGTCAGCTTGTTTTTCTTTTTTTTTTTTTTGAGAGCTTTATTCAGCAGCATGTTTGGGGTTGCAGAGGGAGAGGTGGAATGATAGCAGATTGTGATAGATAAGGGAATTTCAGAGTTTATGAACATGAAAGTGAGGTATTTGTGACTGATGGCAAGGTCAAAGATATGACCATTTCTATTGGTAGCTGGGGTGGGATAGAGAAGAGTAGACAGGAAAATGTTGAGGAATTGGGAGGTACGGGTGTTTAAGGGAGTTTCTATCACTTGTAAGTTGAAGTCCTCTAATATGAGGGCAAAAGTTGGGGAGGAGAGAAAGGCTATGAGTTAGATGCTGAACTCATTGGAGAAAGAAGGGTAGGACCTAGGAAGGTGATAGATAATAGGTAACAGTTTTGATTGGATGGGGAATATAGGTTGAGTGAATCTCAATGAATGATGGTTGTAGAGAAAGAGGCAGTGACAATGGAGATGAAGGATTATTCTACTTTGACCAGTGAGTTGGAGAATGAATGAAAATACAACCAGTGCTAGAAAAGGTGGCTAGGGAAGCTGTGTTGTCAGAAGGCCTCTGTGAGAGCCAGAAGATAGAAGGTGTGGGAAAAGAAAAAAAAATTAAAGAAATCAAATTTTTTATCTCTGCAATAGGTATTCTATAGAACACAATGAGTAGCTTTTGAGTATGGAATGTCATGGAGGGGTTTGAGGGGTTTAAGATAAGGGAGCAGGCATTGGTTGTGGCTTGAAGAGTTTGAAAAATGATAACCCAGAGGGGCAGCTAGGTGGCACAGTGAATAGAGCACTGGCCTTGGATTCAGGAGGACCTGAGTTCAAATCCAGCCTCAGACACATAACACTTACTAGCTATGTGACCCTGGGCAAGTCACTTAAAACCCCATTGCCTATCCTTAAAAAAAAAAAAAGATAGCCCAGGATTCTGAATCATTGGGATGGTAAGTGTATATGACAGGTGAAAGTTTGTTAATCATTGAGGTATGAGTTCAGGTCAGTCATCAACTTAAAACAGAGTAGATGGAAAGTAGTCTCAGTGGAGTGTGGTAGTGGAGGAGGAGACCTGGGAAAGGCTTCCTGCAGAAAGTGAGATTTGGGGGCAGCTAGGTGGCGCAGTGGATAGAGCGTGGCCCTGAAGTCAGGAGGACCTGAGTTCAAATTCAGCCTCAGACCAAACACTTGACACTTACTAGCTGTGTGACTCCGGGCAAGTCACTTAACACCAGTTGCCTAAAAAAACAAAAACAAAAACAAAAAAACAAAAGAAAAACAACCCCCCCCCCAAAAAAAAAAACCCAGAAAGTGAGATTTGTACTGAGTCTTGAAGGAAACCAGGAGATAGAGATGAGGAGTGACAGCATACCATCTGTGAAGTCAGTCAGGAAATGAAGTGTCGTGTGTTAGGAACAAACAAGAAGGAAGGCCACTGTTGTTTGGTTGTAGTGTGTGTTTGTGTAGAGGGGGGTCGAGATTAAGAATTCTGGAAAGATAGGAAGGAGACTTTAAATGATGTTAAATGTTTAAAAGTTGTGAAG